CATTGGACAGCAAGGGAAATAAAGGTGCTGCTTTCTCTCTAATTTCACAGTCAAATTTCAAACAACACATTTACTAGATTTCATAGACATCTGGCTGGAAGGGACCCCATGAGATTGTGTCTAGCCCTCTGCCATAGGCAGGAAGTCTGCTGGGGTCACATCACTGGCTGCTCAAGCTGCAGAGTCGCGTCCAGCGGGCCGAGGCCTTGGACTTTGTTTCACGCAGGTCAACCCCTGAGGCCCCTATGGGTGTCCCCGCTGGCATAACTGTAAATATGTAAATAGTCCTTTTGTTCGCTGTGGGTTTTTTTTAGTCTAGAGTGTACGGGCAGGCCTTGCAGGCCATGAGCCCAGGCCATGCCTGTGAGGCCCAGGTGTTCGGGCCAACCTGTACATACTCTCTACTGGCCCCAATTTGTTACCCTCCCTGGAATAAATGCCTCTTAAAAGTAAAAAAAAATTAAAAAAAAAGTCAAGTGATCCCAGCAAGATAAGCATCCAGACACGTTTTGAATGAGTCCAGAGTAGGTGCTTGCACCACCTCTGGGGGGGTGGGGAGTCTGTTCCATACCCTGGATACATGGACTGTAAAAAAGTTTTTTCTTATGTCCAGGTGAAATCAGCCTTCCAGGAGTTTGTGTTCATGAGACCTTGTTATCCCTCGGGGAGCTGTGGTGAACAACTTTTCTCCCAGGTCCAGATGCACACCCCTTATATACTTGTAGACTGCCACCAAGTCCCCCCTGAGCCTTCTCTTCCCTAGGCTGAAGAGTCCCAAGTCCCAACATTTGCTACTGGGCATTTCATTTCTACCAAGACACAGTGAAGCCAGAAAGAATTCAGAGGAACACCAAACACACACACACTAATACAAACAAAATGGGAGAATAAAAGGAATTGATTTCTGAGAAAAGGGGTAAATATAAACAAATACACAAATAGGTGGCTTGGCACACTAAGGAGGACCAGAAAGCTTCTTACTGAGCAATATCAAATATCTAGGATTTTGTAAGTATTACACCCGAACATGGAACTGCAAATTCATATTTGAGAAGAAATATCAGATTTGGTCCTCTTGCTGCTGCTTCTGCATAATCAAAAGTGGTTCTGATGTTCTCCTCCAATTGCAATGTCCCTACCTCTGGATATGCTATAAGTTCAGTGCTAACAATGAGGGGAAAAACGTGTCACTTTCAGCACTGTTTTTTTCTGCATTCCTTCAATTGCTAGCAACTCGCTCACATATGTGATGATTACATCTAATCTCACTTTGCCCAAGAGAAGTATAATAATGTATTTGAGGATTTTTTCTCTCTCTCTTAAGACAAGAGGTTGTATGTAATAAGGGTGAAGCTTTGTATAGGTTTCTCTGCAGTTGCATAAGCCTGATGTTCCAGAGTGCACTCTGTCTTTCAGGGCATGGAGCTACTTACGTGAATGTACATGCATATGCATATGTGCCAAAAAGAAAGCTTGACAGGCCTACATGGAGTTTGGAAGGCTCCATTCAAACTGACATTAGAAGAGGTCAGGGCAGATGTGGCAGCCTTTCTTTGGCACTTCCCAGCTGGTAACCTATTTTAAAGTGTATGTGATATGGTGGGTAACATACTGGTAGATACATTTGCAGAGCTCTCAAAATGTGCCTGAGTGGAATGTATGGGCACACTAAAAATATAGAGGGGAGGAGTCAACATGAGATTGCTTAAAGTTTGTCCATTCAAAATTGACATCGAAATTTTATTAAGGGAGTTCCACTGATTTAACAAAGCTTAACCCGGTACCAATTCCACGCAAACGTATGAGACATGATTTCTTTCTGAAAAGAACATATCAGACATGGTTGAATTTCAGGCGAAATGGTTTGGCTACTACACAGCAATCTCTTAAAATGCAAAATAGTTTCTTGGAAAAAAAAAGGTTAATATACATAAAAATGGTTTCATGGATATTGTACAGACTTTAAAAAAAAAAACAAAACTTGCCTTCAGTCTGAAATCCATCACAAAAAAATTTAGCCTAAACAGTACATTTTTGAGAACATTATAAACAAGAGAGACAGTGATTTAGGATGGAAAGCTCAACTTAACCTTGACTATAGTGTTGCTACCAAACACTCTGCTGTTAAGAAAACTGCAAGAGAACTACTGACAGAACTATGCTTTAAGTGTAAATTTCAGGTGCATTTATCTTTTTATTGCTACTGTATTCAACAGTTTGTCTTCTATAATTTTCTCTGCAGCTGGTATTTTCCACTTCTGCTTTATTTCATCTGACACAATTGAGCAGAAGCAGTAGAAAACTTCAGAAAAATGAATTTGGTCTGAACCTTGCACCATTTTTCTTTGCGTTTTCTCTCAGCTCGTAGCTAAGAGATACCAAGACTACGTACTTCTCTGTTTATCTTTTGCATATAAATGCCTGACTGCTTTGTTTAAACACATGCATTTTTAGTGTGTCTGCAATATCAGGATACACCTTAGAAAATGCCATCTGTGAAGGTCTTTAGGTGAGTTATTGTATTAACAATTTGTTTCACATTCACAGAAATTGGATAAGAAGCTGCTATTATAAACAGGCAATTGCCGTCCCTTTGTATTCCATGGCTGAGGGCATTAAAACTATGCCAGAAATTCAGCTCACGGTGTAGCCTTATTAAAACTAAAACCTTTTCTCACTCAAACAAAAGTAAAGGAGTGATGTTGTTGCAAAAGATTTTATAAACATGATCACAACCAAGTTATGCTGTTAACCTCAAGCAGTCAATGGAAGAAAAGGTCTTAGACCTGTCACAGAAAGATTTTATTGCCAGCAAATATGTACAGACAGCATCCTAGCAGTGATAAATGACTTGACACTCTTCTTTTCCTTATTAGCTACAGAGAATAACTTGATACAACAAACACAGGTAGAGAGAAGCAATTCCTGTGCTATCAAAAAGCAAATGAAAAAATCCTGACCCTAGTGAAGTCAAAAGGAGTTTTTCCGTTGACTTCATTAGGGTCAAGATTGTTCCTCAAATATAAGTATTAGATACTTTTATAAGATATAGACACCAAAATCTTCTGACTGTACCCATAGGTATAAATAGTATCAGCAGTATTCAAGGGGCATGTACTGTCACAAAGAAAATCCTTGTATTTTCATAACAGGGTATTTCCACAACACTAAGCCATCCACTCTCAGTGGAATATTTATTGCATATGTCAGTCATTGAACCTCAGAGAAACATAACTCATTGTAAAAAACTATAAGTCAGATCTTGGCACCAACTTCAATGGTGTTATGACAGTTTACACCAGGAGAAGATCTGTCCTTATATTTTTATTTTAACTGCTTTTTAGAGGAAGAAGGGGGTATCATAACTTATTTACACTCCCACAGGCATTCCAGCCACACAATGGTCCCCACAGATATTCATGAACCTTTTCTTTAGATGCTCATCATCTCCATACCAAGTGGTGGGTGGATGGGTTTGTGTGCATGTGTGCGGTCGGGGGGGGGAAGGTACACTATAGCCATGTTATCAGTCTGATTTAACTAGGGTAATAAAAAACACCATCAAATGAATCCTGAAAGATCCTGTTCTCATTCAAGCTTCTCTTGTCATTCAAAATAAGAAAAACAAGAGAAGCAAATAAGAATTTGCTTGATTGGCAGAGTATTTCAAGAGTGTTTTCAAAATTTTCCAAAATATGTTCTTTAAAAGAATAACAGAACTTCCTCCTGGGGGGTTTCTTTTAAATTAAAGAGAAAAAAATATAATGAGAATCATTTGTTTATAGGAAAATAACCCAATGATCTGAAAAGAGAAAAACAGTTTTTAAAAGACTATTTTTAAACAGAATATTTGGAAATACAAGATAGAGTGATCTTGTGCAAAACTGGCTGCTAAATGCCAGCCTGGAGAACTTGAGACAGCATTAACTTGAGCTGCCAGTTAAATACTGAAGAGAGATACTTAGTTACATGAGATTATTTCAGATGGGCAATAAAACCAAGTGTATCCCCCAGAGAGTAGCTGCAGTGTGTTCCTATATGTACCATACTCCTGCAGCAGAATCACAGTCCAGTAATTAATTAGCTTAATTATGAAAAAGATGCTCACTTTACAATACATTCCCTATTACTTAAATATAAACTATTTCATTTGGTTACCCAGTTTTCTAGGTACAGCTTCCATTGATTTGGCCCCACAATGTAATCTGATTTCAGTGAGAATTTGGAGTGTTCAACACTTCTAAAAACAGGCCCACTTTTGCTGAGAGTCTTAAACATCAACTAGTGACTCATTTTGAATATTTTAATCCTGCAAGCATTTATGCTTTCAAGTAGTTTTCCATTGAAGTCCATTTCACTACTTATGCGTGAAGTTAAGTCATCTGAATGCACATGTATGTAAATTTGGGGCTCATATTGTAACATTGTTAAACCATTGCAGCATTCCTACACTCAGGGAGTGACCAGAAAGCAATAACTTTTTGTAGCAAAAGACAGACTCTATTGCAAGGCAGGGCAGATTTCTCAATACTATATTACGCAGCTAATGGGGCAAGGGAACATCTCTGAGAAAGGAGTTTGGGGTTATTTATTTTATTTAAGTGGGTTTAGATTTTTTGTCTTCCCATTATATCGCAGATGTTTCAGGGTATATCATGTCCTGTCTTTTGATGACTCAATATAACATGCGAATGGAAAACTTCTCCATGACTTTTAAGACTCAAGTGAATCTGTTTTCACACCCTGGATTGACAGTGACATATGATATTTGCAGAAGTGGGAAAGGAGGCTTATAGGCTTTGGTGAAAACTGACATCTTTACTCATTAATAGTTTACAGCTTTCAGGTTATATTTAACATGGAAAAGTTCAGTAAGGAGAAGTGAATTAAAAGCTCTTCAAAAGGCAACTGGATGGATTTGGTATCCACAATTATTTTCTGTAATACTGTTCCCATTAATTATATTTTATAAAAGTTGTTGCATAAATGAAGAAACTTACCTTTCTTGCAGAATAAGTTTGTTTTCTTTTTTCCAGAAATCTTTAAAGTCCGAACTGAATTCATGCCAAATACTGAAGAAAGAATGTGGGGACACCTCTTTCTCTCCCATTTTTGGTTTCATGCAGAAATAAGCCGCAGTTTCCAAAAAGCTGTCAAAGGAAAAGAAAAAAAACCCAGCAAGTATTTTATTACCTACTGCTACAGTATTTTCTTTCCCCATCAGATATTGACTTCATACACAATTAATCTTGGTAACAAAACTGAAATATGTGGAGCCTCTAGTTGTAATGTTTTTATGGTACACATTTTGGTTGATCTCTGTTGTTCATCACACGCACTGTTTTTGACCAAAGCATTAAAGCCGAAATGGAAGTTGCTTCTAATCCCTTCAATATGAGAATTCCACGCCTGCCCCACATTGCCTTTGTACTATATTAGAAATGATTAAAAAAAAAATCACAGTCTATAGTAGTTTTGAGTAGAGTTTCACCAACTCTGTTACGTCTGTGTTTTGACAATACAGCAACCTACGTGCAGCAGTCCAGAAAATGTAGTCAGCTTCAGAAAGAAATGCAGGCCTGCAGCAGAACACTTTGACCTCCCTGGACATTCCATTGCTGACCTGAGGGCGGCCGTTCTCTGGCAGCAAACCTTTAAAAACCAATCTGAACAGCAAATTGCAGAACAAGAAATCATCCACAGACTGGATTCATTATGGTTTAAACAGGGACTATGGATTCCTATCCCATTACCTGGATTAGTTTTGTTGCTCCTTTGCTCCTATGGTTTTATTGCTTACATGTTTGCCTCTCCCAGCACTGCCCCTTCTCCACTCTTCCCCACCCCCCTTCTTATGTATTCAGTGTCCTTCTAAGCACCCAACACTCAGTTTGGACACACCCAGAAAGCAGCGGATGAGGAGGGCACACCTACCTTTTGCAGGCCCAGTTTATAGGAACACAAGCAAGGTGCAACAGTTTACACTTTCATATGGAAGTATTGTTTAAATGCCTAATACAACAAAATAGGATCTGACCCATTGAATATATGGAGTTGACATGCCATAAGTAAATATTGCTCTCAAAATAACTCACTAAGCAAAAGATCTGGGAGCAATAAGGTAGTGATCTCAAACATATTTAGGAACCTCAACATTTAAACTTTCATTTTACTGGAAGACAATAATTTCAAATTTCAACTCGTTCATTATGAAATTGCCTTTTGGGGTTTTTATTTTTTTTACAAAATGGAAAACAAAATGGCTCACAATGTATTCAAGAATGTTTGTTTCTGTTCAAATGACTACTGATCAACCACCCATACAATAACTTCTGAAGAATCGTATATTGCTTGTTACATCATATTGACGTTGGAGTGAAATCTTGGCCTTGATGAAGTCTATGGGAATTTTGTCACAGACTTTTTGGTGTGGGGGGGGAGGGAGCAGGGAAGGAGAGAATTTCACCAGCTGAGTATCATCAAGATAATGCCATAACAGTAGTATTAGACGATAACCTAATTAGAGACATACACCAAACATTTAAAAGGACCCAATTGCTCTAACCCTACTGTACCAATAGCTTAAAGCTAGATCACGAAACCTAAACCACAAGCTAAACAGAGGTGTGCCTAGAGCACCCTGATCAGGAAACACTAAAATCTTTGAAAGAATAAAGCCTTCCGTGCAAGTCAGTGTACCCAATGTAACATCGTAGTCTGTCTTCTGGCTTTTAAAATGTTGTGACCATTTCTGAATAAATCCTGTTATTCCAGCTAAATCCGAGACAGCCTAATTACATTCCATCTACCTAATTTTAATTCCTCCACTAATTTTGTATTGGAGAAGACTCCTATGACCCTGAGCATAACGCATATAGAATGTATTTTCATATAAAGACTTTGGTCTTTAGCAGTAGAGAGGCATGAGCATTATAGGGTAGCAGGGAACTTCGAAAGTGCCATTTAAAAAAAACACTGACTATTTTTAATGATGTTTCTCAAAGATCACCAATGATGAGTAACATACCATGAAATAAGGAGTTCAGAGGCCCCAGCATGGCAAGCACCTCTGCTGCTGGTTGCACAAATGTCAAGAAATGAAAAGAATAAGATATCCGGTAATCATTCTAAATTTGAGGTAACAAGTTATAAAACCCATACAGGAAACCATCTTAGCAAGCAGGGAGACAGGATAGTCAAATTTCTATAGATATATACTCAAGGAGTTCAATAAATGGTACCGATATCTACTGAATACATGAAGGATAACATTAAAAATTCTGAAGATTTTTCTGAGGAGCTCGCCAGGATTTCTCTCTCATTATTGCTAATCTTGCTGGAAACCACATCAGCATAGCTAAGTTAGCTATATATCCACATTTAGCTATGTCTTCTTCAGTCAGTTACAGTGAAATACAAGTCCTCAATCAGTTTGTGCCAGCTAATTTAGGGGAAAATAAATTAATCTGCTTTTAAAATATGAAACTGTAGAAGCTTAGTAAACTTCCTGTCACCTTTCTAACACCTGCTGGTACAAGAGCAGAAAACATAGGCTATAACATATTTGGACCAAAACACAAGCACTACCAGGAATCCAGGTATCCATCCTGTATTCACAGGTGAAAAAACCCTAAAATACTTAACTTATTCAGTCAAAAGGATCTTCTCTTACATGGTGGTTAACCTCCCAGTGTACAATTATAAACCTTAGGAAAGACTGAATGCCATATAATAATTTGAGAAAAGATAACAGAATTAATTCATGGAAGACAAAGAACAAGCAACAAACCTAAAATGAATTTTACAGACTGATAAACATTTGGGCAGCAGAAGCGTTGGATATTCACAGAACATGGCAAAGATTTGGAAATCTACTATTGCAGTTTACATATGGTAAAATAGGTGGATATCAAGGCTTATTTTGTGAAACATGGTTCTGCTATAAAATGGGATTTAGACAACATTGAAAAAGACTAGCAGAATTACTGTTAAGAATGGACACTACCATTCCAGATCACATTTCTAAGCCACATAGCACCTAACTTTTGCATTATATATGATCAGAAGACAATATGCGTTTCCTGGCCCTTTTCTGAGTTCAAAGCATAGGCAGTACCTGCAAGATGCTATGTTGTTCATAGCTGTATGTTCACCATGCATAGTGTGTGTGTTGATGGGGAGGATCAGGAATCCAGATTTTCTGCATTCCTACAGTGGCTTTGGTAAGATGTGCCCTTGTGTGCCTCAATTTCTCTGTGTGTAAAATGGGTATACTACCAAAAGCTGACTTAATTTTCATAAAGCAATGAGAGACCCTCAAACGAAGGGTTTAAGACCCCTGAACCCATATTGCATGTCTTAAAGAAAAAGGGAAAAGAGGTTGGGAAGGAGGGGGCTTAGAGCTATTTTCAGGGATTAATAGAGGTAAGGGAGGTCAGTGGCTTTGCTCCAGTCAGCATGACTTTTCAAGCCTGATTAAAAATAAGACATTGATGTTCACACTGCTGTCTTATCCAGATAGGGCAAAGGCCAAATGTGTTAAAAGGATTTCAAATTGGCGTTCATATATGCTGCCTTGGCCCCAAAGAACATTTAAACATCTCTAAATCCCTTAAGACACTGAAGGAGGTGGTGTTGTCTGACAAAAATAAATGAGGAAATTAGATTAGAAAAGGTGGTTATAGTTCCTTCCCTTGTTCCATCTCTTCTAAAAACCTCTTTAGATTAATAACTGAATTCACCAGTTATTTTCTAATGAAAATGGGTGAATGAATTATTTGCTCTATGCTTATTTTAACACCTAGAAGATTATGCTCTCCAAATGGTTTCTCTGTCTAGGAAAAAAAGCACGTAAAATGGAAAAATCTGGCAGCATTATTAAGAAAACCTGACAATCACTTGTTATCTTGTTTATCACCAATGTTCCTACCTATAAGCTTAAAATCAATTAGAAGTATTTTCCAGGGAGGGGGAGCAGACCATGGTTTACTCTTTTTTTTTTGTAAGGTGTATTAAGAAACTGCAGATACTACATCAAATTCATGTCAGTCATGCATTGTGTGCATAACTCATTTACCTGGTCAGATAACAAATATAAACAAAAATATGTGGGAAAGTGGTGGGTGATGTAAAGATTCCTATTGCTGAAAAACTGAAATAGAGGAACAAATCAATAATTTAATTAGAATAAGTGATACCCAGTAGACAGAAACAGTCTCCCTTCAGAATGAACCGACCAGGCTCCAGTACCCAACAAATTAAAAGGTAACTGTAGGTCCAGACACATGGCTTGGATTTAATTTGTAGAGACACTATTCCTGGCTGACCTTTCTGAGAGCTGGTTAAAATACAATCCATCAGATTTCCAAACAAAGCACTTACAGGCAAATAACTAGAAGTGAGATCAGTTTAAGCATAGAAACACTTGCACTTTTGAGAAATCCTCTTCAATATTGTTGAACAAATGAAGGATTTCCAATGCTTACATATGTTTGGATGTTCTCAATAACTCCAGTTTTGCAGACTAAATGATCAGCAATTGTTAAATGTACAATATTGTCAAGCCTCATTTAAACAAGTTTGAGGTTAAACTAGTATCTTCTGGGACTTTCTTCCTAGACCAGTAATATAGGATTTTGTATTTCAGAATAAACAGTCATCAGATGATCTATTTATCCAAGTCATAAAGTACATGTTAAGCAAGTGATGAATGGTCACAGGCAAAACTGATCAGAAAGCCCACAGTATATGCACATAAATGAGAAGAATATATGTACAAAAAAATTAGGGCTCTATTTAAATTGACATGAGTTTTATTTTAAGGGCTAAGTTGAATGGCAGGATATATGAATCAGTGCTGAATTTAAAAGGGGCTATCAGAATAGAATTACAACAGATAGCCAGTAGTTAGGGTTGCTCCTTGGCAAGTTAGTCAAGCAAATTGTCATATTTAGCACACGCACTCTCTTTCTCTTTTTTTATTTTTTGCCTAGAGCAAAATGCCTCTACAGATTTATTTTTTCTTCTCTGTAAACATCTAAATGTATTAATGAGAAAATGTAATAATGGAAATTTTATCTATAGCATTAAGGTTGGTTTTAGGATTTGCAGGGCCTCAAGCAGCTCATACAGGTGAAAATGAGCAATTTCC